TATGGAAGGTTTTTTGGGAGGCAGAATGGCAGCATGAGACTGTGCTCAATAAATGAACCTAGGTGTGCCTGTCTTGGCCAACCTGTTGTCTATTTCACTCAATTAATTGATGATTAATAGTACTATCTCTCTTCATAAAACACTTTGAGATCTATGCCTGATAAGTACTCGATATCGTGGTGGTGGTTGTGGTTGTGGTCTTCTTGATTGCTTGTTTCCTCCATTTGGCACCAGAGTGTAGAAAGGTTTATAAAAGCTGGCATGAAGCACCTATTTTTGTAAAGCAGGAGGGGAACAGGGACATTCCCTATTTCCAGGAACACATTGTCACTGTAGCTTGTTTGTGTATGATTTTACTGTGTAAATACCGTATTTTCCGGCGTATAGGGCGACTGGGCGTATAAGACGACCCCCTATCTTTTTAATTAAAAGATAGGGTTTCATCTTATACCCCAGCGCCCCTCCGCCTCCTTTGCTCCCGGTGTCCCTGGTCTGCTGGAGATGGTCCCCAGCAGACCAGAGGCACCGGGAGCAAAGCCGCCAGGAGCGGAGGGGCTCCGGAGGGGGGGCAGCCCATGCGCGCCTGGGATCCCCCCGCCGCCGGCTTCCCCCGAGGCTTTCAAAGCCGCGGAGGGGCTCCGGCGGCGGGGCATCCGGCGTACAAGACGACCCCCGATTTTTGGGGGATGTTTTTTAACTTCAGAGGTCGTCTTGTACGCCGGAATATACGGTACTGCTTAGGGGGAAATTTTCCGAGGCACAAATGGAAGTTAGGTGCACTTTGACTTTCCATGACAGTTGGTTGCCTAGCTCCCATTTGTGCCTTTGAAATATCTTCTTTAACTTAGAATTGTTTGTGGCCTGGTTTTCTTGTATGTGTCCTTTGAATAGCTTCTTGAGCTCATTCCATGTAGAATTTCAAGGCCACTGGTGCCACTACTGATGAATTGACATGGCAGGGTATATTTTTCAGAGGATTGAAGGTATATTGCTACATGTGGAAGGGACAGGATCATGCCTGTTAAAAAAACATAGCAATTCCAACTCAACTTGTCCCTCAGTTACAAGCAGTGAGTTCTGAGTACAGAATTATCCCAGAGAGCCTTTACTGTGCATCATATAAACAAGTCTTCAGTTTGCCAACAAATTGTATTGCCATTACAAAGAATTTAGGGATGTTCTGCCAATTACATAGTTTGTTCAGTGTGGACATTCCTAAGCTTTTTAATTCTGGATATCTAGTACAGTCGCTAGTGCAGTAGATCAGCCTTGATCACAAGAGAATATTCCATTTCAGGCATTTTGTTGTGTGCTAGAGCATATTTGTAGCCTTTGCTTCTCTATTTAAACTGGCTGCATCTGCTCTCATGAGACAAGTGCACAGTTCTGTGTTTTGCTTGTGGTGTGGTGTTAAGTCCATTCTTTGGAGAAAAGAGTTGAAAGTACTCCTGTGCTACTAGTATTTAGACATCATGACTTTTCTGTCAGGGACTAGATGGTGTGATTACTGCTTAAGGAGAAGAGGGGTTTCTTTTAATTTAAATTTAGTAGGGGTGACTTTTCTTTTTTATTCATAGGGCTATTTATAGCCATATTGAGACCTAGGGAGGATATATTACTGCAGCAAGTGTACCCTTTCTTCTGGGATTCTTGAGAGACCAGTTCTGACTGCTCGTTTCACAGGTGCTCCCATGAAGATAGTTACTTTCATTTAGGGGTGTTAGATAACATGTAATTGAGTAGTTGTGTAACCGCATGAAATCTTAGTGGTTACGTGACTATTTGATAATCCCTGGGGGTGGGACTGCCAGCCAGTGTGCTCTGGCCCCACTCTTGGGGAGTCCCTTGCCACCACCATGCTGCTGTCTCTTATACATAGGCAGCAGTGCAGGGTGGCGGGGGGGCTGGTCTGTGAGGGGAGCCAATTTAAAAATAAGTTCCCCCGGCCGAGTCCGGCTATCTGCCATCTTGCGCTGCTGCCTCTAATACAGAGGCCACAGCACAGGGTGGCAGCAGCCCCTTTCCATGGGGGTCTGAGCCTCTATCTGAGGGGAGCACGGACCCCCCCATGAACAGGGGCTGCTGCCACAGACACGCCTCTGTCTGTAGTAGGCCCAGGCTCACTGCAGACAGAGGCTGCTTTGTAGCAGCCTCCCCAGCCAGATGCTGATAGAGGCAGCAGCAGGTGGATGGGGGGAGGTGGCACCGTGGAGCTGGTGCTGGGGGAAACTGGCTTTTAAGCTGGTGCCTCCCCCCCCCCCCCCATGCCTCTGTAGGAGGCAGCAGGGAGTGGGGGGCGCAGGCAGGGCTTGTGAAGTTGGCACGCGCAGAGAGTAGGGATGTTAAATTTTGATTGACTAATCAAATAGTCGATAGGGCGCCTCTGCCTTTGAAGTGTAGCAACAGCTCTCAAAGACAAAAGTGCTGTCAGGAGCACAGGGCCAGCTTTGAAGCAGTCCCTCCTCTTACTTCCCTTGATGCCTCTTTCTGATAGAGGCAGCAAGTGGGGGGAAGCAACTAGTTGGTTAGCCTTTTGACTATCTGATAAGCATTTGCTTATCAGATAGTCAATTAGTTATTCACATCCCTAGCAGAGAGCCTGCTTGAAAGCCACGTGGGGATGGTGGGGACGGGCAGATCCAGTGCTCATTGATGGCCTGCTTGAAGCCAGCACCTCACGGGCACCAGCTTTTGCTTCCCCCCTCCCCTTGCTGCCTCTGATAGAGAGGCAGCAGGGGGAGGGGAGTGCAGTTGATAGTGTAGTTGATAGTGTAGCCCAGGCTTATTGGTTAATCGTTTACTTGATTATACACTAACATCCCTACTTTCATTTGTATAGCTTAATTTCCAAACACCTATGGTCATCTGCCTCTCTCTTATTAAAGTATAGTTTATTCTGAGAGGTGATCTCAGAGGCAGTATGCAATGACCAGGGTGTCTATCAAGACAAAGCCTTAAAATCCTGAAAGCTTCTGGGTATCTCTCTTAAAGAAATCAAACAATGACAAAAATATGTAAAAGTAATTCAGTTCCTCCATATGTTTTTTTTTTAAATAACTAAAAAGCAAACTGGAATGGGTAGAGGTCAGCGCTGAATGAATTCTTAGGTTACATATTCATGTACAGAAAGCTAGTTGGCAGGTCTCATACAGTAAGAAAAACATACTGCAATGGACTCTTTTTTTTTTCTAGAAGAGTTATGTTGAATAGGCAAATCACTGTTTGTGCTTAAATCATTGTAAGCTCTAGACTCTTAGCACCAAGCAGTTAAACATCATTTAAAATGTTTTCACATATGATCTTTATTATGGGGTGAACTGATATGTTTTCCGTCCTTACTAAAGTGTGAAAATTTTGGGCGGGTTTCCACAGCTGGGTACTAAAGATTATTTGTGTACAGCTAGTCATGTTTTAAAAAGGTAAATCAATCATTCAGTGAAAAAACAAAAAGCAAAATCCACCCCTACTTACTTCAGTGCTGAGGTTGGGAACTTAAAGGCAGAGATAGGGAGCAAAGATGTGGCTAGAAATATTGAACCCAAAATAAATGTCACTAGCTATGGTGAGTGCACTGTATGAAAGTTCTGATGTTGCAGTCCTTACTCCAGCAAATTTCCTGATTTCCTTATTAGGGTGGTTGAAATGGGACTCTTTCTTCAGACTGAACTCCCAAGTTTGGGCCCAGAATGCTTAGCCAAAAGAAATTCAAGTCCTGACCTAACGCCCATCAACATCAGCATGTGTCTTTCCGTTGTTTTCAACAGGCTTTGGATCAAGCCATGGTTATAGGCTATAAGGCTAGAGAGGACCATTAGGATCATCTGTACCATATCCTAATGAGTAACTCCTGTTGACTTAATTATGAGCGGCATCTGTGGATTGATGAGAAAATAAACCTAAGTTGTTCATTCTTGGTGTGAGTGTAGTTGTTGTCAGTTGTTGCATGATAACACTTAGGCTGTGGAGCTATTTTGGGATACTTCCAGTATCCTGAAATAGCTATTCTGCGTCTTTTGAGCAAGTCCTTCATTTCAAAATATAATTGGCTTCACTATTCTGATGTCCCTATAAATCTCTTACCAAGAGGAGTAAGGGACATTTTGGAATAGTGCTTTATTTCGAAAGCAGTGCCAGATTTTGAAATAAGCTATTTTGAAATTAACTCGAAATAAGCTAAGCAATTTATGTAGCTCAAATTGTGTAGCTTATTTTGAGTTCTGGGTACAGTGTAGACACACTCCTAGTGACTCCAGACAAGATCAGGGGCCTACTTTATATCGTAAGAGCCAATTCCTGTCCTAGAGAACATACAGTATGACTAGAGGAAACACAAAGACTGGGACAAAAGTTGTACATTTTAGGGATGTAGGGGGCAGGGGTGCAGCAGCGGTGTTCCACCCTTGAAATATACAAGAGTCCCTGCTTTGGAGAATTGGGGCACTAAGAAATTAAACATCTTTCTCTGAGCCACATAAGACATCAGTGGACTGGTCCAGTGCCTTAATCACGAGACTGCCATTCCTCTGTACGAGATGCCATTTCACTTAATCCCAAAAATGAACAGTTTGGAGATAATAGCACTGTTTTGATGGAGGAAAATGTATCAGGGTTCCTTTGGTCTCAAGAATGCAGTCTTAGTTCTGTCTTGTGAGGGACAGATGCTAATAGGGTTTTTTTTACAGTCTATTAGCTAGAAACTAGACAATCTGCTTTCATCTTTCAGAGATCACAGGGAAAATCTGTTCACTTTATTGATGTGAAACTACCAGGAAATCAGTGGAAGTTTGCTTACTCCTAATCATAAAACCTAATGCTGCTCACCTTTATTGACACACAACTTCCAATGATTCCCTATGAGTTTAATGTGAGTACTGGTGAGCAAGATTAGGGTTTGCTAAGCCAGTGTGTTTTGTATTGTCTCTCTAGAAGCAGTTCATTGGCAAGGAACACAGTTGGTGGTACTGCAATGAAGAGAGAGGAAACACTTGTACATTAGATCTTTTGAATTAATTTGTTAATGCGCCATTTATTATTATGTTATCATTTATGTGGTAAAACCATGTGGAGGGCTTCATTGTAACAGGTGCTGTACAAACAGTGAATGACAGTCTGGTCTCTAAACTGCTTTTCCCTTTTATTTTGTGGGCAGCACACCAACCAAATACATTTTGAACATACCACGCTTTCTTGCTATAATTGAGTTAAATGTATAATTTAGTTTTTTAAAACAATTGCCAGTTTTTGCTAGAATTCATACTTTTTTTCTGTGCATTTATTATTATTAAATTAATAAAGATGCAGCTTTATTGACAGTCCCTTGTAAATTTGCTTTAAAAGCCCAGGCATTCCAATGGTAAATTAAAACATCATTTCTTTCCTTTTGAGGGGAGCGTCTTACCAAAATAGAAAAGATGTTCAAACATTTTAAAGAAGTGCCCAATAAAAGTCAAATGTGTCTTTTTTGATCAGCAGCAAAAAGACAAAGACCAGCCCTTTAAGTCAGATACTGTAAACTGACCTTTGGAAAAAAAGGAGAGGTTTGAGTAGTTTTCCACAAATGCTAATGGCCTAGAAAACATGTTTACCAAGGGCTGGTAGAAGGCTGCTGCGTTGCTACTAGCTCAAAATGTCCGGAATGACACTTTCATTCACAGATGTCTTTCGTCTGTGCCTCAGAGGTCTGAGGTCAAAGCAGCACCGGCAGGCAGGTAAGCAGGGGCTAAAGGTTTGATCAGTTTGTGATGGCTCCACTCACTCTGTATTTGTCTCCAAGGTATTGCAGCCCGGGGGGGACATTCGGGCTCTGGTTCTGCTCACTTCCTATTATCCATGTGACTTGTCTCCGCCACGCTGGAGTCACTTTGATTTGCCTGATGTACTGCTTGACAAAGCTGGGTGATGGCTGAAAAGTGGATCCAGCTGCTCTGAAAAGCGCACACCTGACATGCCAGTCCTGGTGCGGGCACATCATGGGGAGCATTTTTTAATTCAATGTAATTTATGCATTCTTGCAGTCCTGTGTGTGCCTGGCCTGTCAGCCAGTGCCTAGATGAAGGCTGACAGTTGTCATCCAGGGCCTGAAGGTAGCCTCACATAATGACACATTAGACATACTAATGATGTTTTCTTCTGGCATAATGTTTTCTTCTCAACTTTCCTCTCCCCCTCCCTTTTGTCTCCTTCCTATCTACCACAGGGATGCTTAGGACACAAACACGCCAAGGAGACTGTGTCTGCATAGAATGTGGAAAATGCTTTAACCAGCCCAGTCACCTCAGGACGCATATGAGGTCCCACACAGGTATCTTTTATCACCAGCTTTTTGTTTTGTTTTTTAACCCAACTAACAGAATGTTCAATTTAATTTTACCTCCTGTACTAACCTAAATAATCTAAATTCTTCCCAATATGTAGTACCCTAGGTTTTGTTTTTGATTGGTATTGCTCTTGTTCTCTACATACTCCATACCTGACCTCCCCCCTTCCATAAAATTGCAATGCATTTGAGATAAGCCTGTTTGCAAATGCTTTATTTTAATTAGAGAGTAGGATACTCAGAAATGAATATGCTAATGAATTCTGTTGCCACCAGCACAAATTGAAATCAGAGTAGCCCCTTTCAGCAGAACATAAGGCTTTGCTTTCTTTCATTATAGCTATTGATGAGAACAGTTTTGTATGAAACCAGATCCTCCTTAGACGGGTCAATTATAAACACTAAAATTCCTGTCAGCCATTTTTACCCTAGAATGATCTACTGTTGAGAACGTAGCCAGCTAAAGCTACCAGTATCAAGATACCTCATAAGCATTACATGAGACAGTGAGACTAGTGGGTTCTCTTTGAGAAGTGTGAATGATGCATACATAAGCCAGTCTGATGCAAAATGACAGAGGCCAAATGGTAAGTAATGCAAGAAGAGGGTCCCTCTACACATACACTGATAATTAATGTTGTCAGTGATTGCTTTCTTCAGCACCGAAGTCTGAATTAAAAAGGGCAGTGCCCCTAGGCTGCCATTAGCACACTCTCTTACAGTAAGTGTTACGGTAAATTGGTATTTTCCGGCCACAGGCTAGTAGCTGGTGTCTTTTTTTGAATGTGGTTAATCTGTAATGGTCTCAAATAATGTACACACACTAACGAAGCTTGAATGTTCATCTGTTAACAAGCCCCCTTGTTCCCACAGTGGTATTTGAGTCTAATGGACTCCGAGGTACTGAAGTTCACACCACCTCCGCAGATGCCCCAAAACAAGTATGTTTTACAATTAATTGGGTGTTTGGTTTTTAATGTGGTAGCTGGGAAAAAGTGGCACAGTGATACTCATCAGTAAAGCACTGACTGTTTTATAACAAATGTGTAAATAACAGTGTTTCTCTGATTTTTAGAAACTAAAACTTTTTTTTTAGCATTTTACCCAAAACTGCTACATATAGAAAGCAGTTAAAGTGTAGGCAAAGATGTTAACGGTGTATTGTGGATGGAAGGGAAAGGTAATTGCATGATGCAAAAAGTGGTATATAAATATGAGATCATATTACGAGACTCACTAGACAGAGAGATTTGCTTTTACACCTCAGTATGTTATACATTTAAAAAACACAAATAACACTTGGTCTGTGTTTTTCTGAAGAGTATTCCTATCATGTTATCCTGTAGCTGATCTTTCTGAAAGGCTCTTACCTTTCAGTTTCTGTGGACTCTGTGTGGTGGTGTGTTTCCTGTTTCTAATGTACAGTGTTTCCTGTCCTGACAAACACTTCTTTCAGTTCTCTGAATTGGATTTTTTATGTTTTTAAAATAAAACAAAACCACTGCATCTATCTACTTTCTTCTTCAGCCTTGACAAGTGAGTTGTGGGCTTCATCTACTCATAAGCAGCTCTCACTTGAATTGCTATCTTGAATGCAGGATTGAAACCCTTTTTTCTCTTTTTTTATCACCACAATATTCTAGTCTTTCCCATCCTACCAAGCCCCTACATGCAGCTCTAGGGTAAGTGGGTGCAATTCTACACATGTAAGTGACTAGTCGACTATCCGATAAGCATAAGCTTATTGGATAGTTGACTCGTGCGACTAGTCGCTTCCCCCTATCTTACTGCCTCTATCAGGGAGAGGCAGCAAGGCGGAGGAGCAGAAGCCAGTGCTGGGGGGGAGCCAGCTTAAAAGCCACTTGCCCCCAGCACCACCCATGGTGCAGGGGAGATGAAGGCAAGGCGGGAAATGGTACAAGCAGGGATTGAAGCAGTCTCCACCCGCAGTAGTTCTGTTGCGATTCTGCTTTTGAAATTTACAAGTAGGTCAGTGGGGGACTTCTCCAAGCAGAAGCACTGCAAGGAGAGCAGGTCCGCGGGGAACTCCCCCATTGGCCCCGTGCTCCCTTCGGGGCTTCCTTTTGAAATGTACAAAAGCCCTGGTGGGTCTCTTGTACATTTCAAAGGCTCAGGCACCGCAGGGAGCATGGAGCTAGTCCTTCACTGGCCCCATGCTCCCTGCGGGACTTCTGTTTTTTAACTGTAGCAAGAACCCAGTAGGGCTCTTGCTATGGTTTAAAGGCAGAGGTGCCCTTATCGACTAATCAAATAGTCGATGGAAATCCCATCAACTATTCAATAAGTTAATCTAAATTTAACATCCCTATGCATTTCCATACCAGCTCTGTATATAGAACTTTATTAACTCTAAGGACCTAATCAAAGGCATCATTAGAATCAATGATCCAAAACCATTCCCACAAGAAGTCATATCAGAAACCACAGCTTCATGGCATTCATGTACCACTCTCTTCACAAGGACTCTGAATAGTTTCTTCCATTGTGTTGGCTGTTGATTAAAGCCCAAGACTATTATCTATAAAAATTTTCTTTTTGTGCTGAACCAGCCATAGGGGAATAAAAGCTGCTATTTTTTGTTGACCCCTTGTTGCCCTGTGTGAAATTAGTTTGGTGTTCTCCGCCCGTTTTTCAGCAGGCAACGTGTCCACATCACCTAAAACAGTCAACAGAGTTGTTCCTAATTTGCATCTTAGCTGGTAATCTTCAGCAGAAGCATCAAGGATTGGAATGCATCATGGAGACTGAACCACCCTGTCCCCAGGTTATTGTGAGGTGGGCTGAATTGCTGCCGCCCATGCTGTTCCTATTTTGTGGATAAATGCAGGATTTCCCTTTAGGGGTGTTAAAGGTTAACCAGTAAGCCTCACCCTTAACTGGTGAGGCCGGGAGCAGCTCCCCACCTGCCATGGACAAGGGTCTGCTCCAGGTCGGGCTGGGGGAAGGCTGCTGCAGACAGGGGCTGCTCTGGTCATCCGGAGTTCAGGTGCCATGCAGACAAGGGCTGCTCTAACCTGTTAACCAATTAAACAGGATTTTACATCTTTACTTCCCTCCTCAGGGCAGTCAACATGCCACCTTTTATCAGAAATAAATTTACACGAGAAACTTCAGAAAAATAAAAGTCAACTTTAATGTATCTATGAAGGGGTTTTATCCAGTATATCAAGACCTACCACTAGAAACACAAGCACTAAACCATGTGTGCCTTTGAATTTATTTTTATCCTTATGACTAAAATATCTCCCCTCACAAAATAAATTTTAGCAATTTAATGATCTGGTGACTAGTGATTAAAAAAATCTCAATGATAGTAATAAGATTCATATATCATAGGGCTTTGAATTGAATCAGGAATCAGTGACCTTTTAAAACTGAAATGCAATCCCTGTTCCACAAAGAAGATACTGATTTTTTTTTTTGGTATGGGGAAAGAGAGGCAGAGAAAGTAGAAACAGCAAAGATATGCCATAATTAGAGAATTAAATATTGAGAATGTAGATGAAGTCAATCCAAGAGTGTTCTGTTTATACTGATGATCCATTACATTGGAAGAAAGACATGACTCCTTAATAAAAGTATTTGACAGACAGTGAAACACTGTGGCTGTGAGAACTAGCACAATGGGGGTCTTTGGTGAACTCTCATAAATTCTAACATAAATTTAGCAAACCTAAGCATCTTTAAGTTGTCTGTGCTGTGGAATCTCTTTTGTCTCTTTATCTTTTCTGACTTGTCCCAGGCATAGCTGAGATCCCTGATTTTGAAGGCAATGCTTTTTGAAAGAAAAAATAAGATTGCAATTGGAAGTCTATTTTAAAATATTCTAAAACACAGACAAATTGTAAAAAGGTCATTTCTAGGAAGTAACAGCTATGGTACATAGCTTACTTGTCTTTACAAACTCATGCTGTGCTGCATTTATTAACTAACTTCTTTCATAGCAAACTTAGTTCACTATTGTAATCTTAGTGTTTGTGTACATTGGTTGTAGCAGATTACACTACAACATTTCTCAGTGCAACAGCTTCCACAGGGTTGGGCAGAGGTGAGCTGCACCAATTTCTCAATCTCTTGACATTCAGTCTCTCTTCCACAGAAATTCCAGTAAAATCATCATCAGCCACAGATAATTTCTTTCCTCGTCTTTGTCACAATTATTCTTTAATTTCAGCCTTTGTCTCGGTTTGTGAGTGTCTTTGTCAGTTAAAATGAAAACAGTCAGTTATCTATTGTGGTCCGTGTTTTCATAATAAACAATGACTTTATGCACGCCACCAAAATTTCACTGGTAAGTCCCTGAGGTTTTAGAGAGAATAATTTCATTTCAACCTGCAACTCTAGAAGCTTTTAGAAGCATAGAATATATTAAGAACAATGCCTCCAGCACACTGGTAACACAATTATTTCCCAATTAAAATATTGTCACTCCACCTTTTTTTTTTAATTGGGGACAGCGCTATTCTAGAGAGTTTACAGTTTAGAGTCAATTCAGGTTTCAGCAGTGCCATGCACTTGCTCCCAGCAAAATACAGCAGCCATCACTTACAATAGCTTTAGTATAAAGGTTTTTCACATGAAGAGAATTCATTTCATATAATGTTGCTTCCTTATAGGTAAGAAATCTTCCCTTGAGCACTTATTTAAAGTTAAAAAAATTAATTTTTGGTGTAAGACAGTATATCGCAATTTCCCAGACTCTTCTGTATTCAGATGATCAAACTTTTGGACACCTTGCCCTTATAAAAGAGAGCTAGCGGATTGTGCAGGACTAAATGTAGCAGTTTACAATAGTGTTACTAGTATTTGGGGACTTTCTAGTAGAATAATTTAAAGTCATCACTTTCACAATGAGTCTAAAATTGGTTGCCTAAAATTAGGCACCCGAAACCCTAATTTAAGGTGACGAGCAATCAATTCATTGCAAGTAGCAGGTGCTGACCACCTCTGAAAATCAGGTTAGGTACCTGAATAAGTTTGACAATTTTGGCCATAGCCTATAGCTTTATAAACGTTAATTGTATCACCAGCAATGAAGAAATTATAACCAAATTAAATATAGGAAATAATTAGGTGGATGCCTGAGATGACATAATTTTTTCTGCTTTGTCTCTGCTTTTGCACAATCACTGTCTTAAAAAACATTTTTTCACTATACATCTTTCCTAAGAACCCTAGTACAGTTCCTGGTCTTCTAAGAAGGACAAACAACACACACACTACATGACCTGAGTCAATACAGGCAGTGCAAACTCAGGCAGATTTACTTGAAATGCTGCCATATTAAATGTTGAATATTCTGAATATTTTTATAAATGCTAAATATCTGAATATATTCATAATTAAGATAACACATTCCACAATGAATATGTATTATCATTTGGAATACACTAAATAGCATTCTAAAGACATGATCCAATAAGCGTGAATTCCAGTAGCACACTCCCGTCACATAAGGGGTACAAAATTAAGCCAGTTCCCTCTTGCAACAATCACTGTGAGTGTCTGAACAGACAGACTTGTGTGTCTCTGACTTTAAAAGCAGTGGATTTCACAGGTAAAACTGGATCTTGTGGCATTGTATTAAAAGACCAAGGTTGCAGTAGTTTGTCTTACAAATGGCATCAGTAGTGCAGTTTCTGGCACATATGCTGTTCTTTGGATCTTCCTGTTTCATTTTTTAAAAAACAACATGATTGTCTATCCTGTTGGGTTCACAGCCCATTCTTAGTTTTATGCTCAAATATTTTGTTTAAACAAAATGCTCTAGAAAATTTTAAAGGACAAGTATTTGCTCTCAGGAGGCATGATTTGCGAGATGGATGACAAGATCATGATTCGTCATCTAATTGGGATGATACATGTAATTTAAAGCATCTTTATAGTTCTGTAAGCATAGGCATTGAGTCCTATGTTCAAGTATGTTGAATTGTACAACTGAAACAAAAAAAAGCAAAAAAGAGTTTAAAAGCTGCTGATCAGAAAAATATGTCATTGGCACCTTGTAAATCTCTTTCCTGCTACTTCTGTGGTACTAGAACCCACCGGCTATCATGCATTGCAGATGACCAAAGGGGAAATGCAGCATTATGGTATTAGAGATTTGTTTGTTTGCTTGCTATTTCCTTTAGTGTGTTTATTCTTCGTGCTATAGTATCTTTTCTATCCTAGAGCCTCTCCTGGACAAAAATCGTTCATATCAAAATATTATTAGTAGTATTGATCTGCAAAACATTAATAATGCCAACTAAATTCCTCTTTATAACATTTTGCTCACATACGAAATGTCAGTCCAGTTCCTTCCTAAGTTTTTTTTTTTTTAAAGATCATGATTAATGGAATTCTTGTTCGCAACATAACTATTTAAAAATAACATTTGCAATAATGTGAAATGAACTATTAATCAAAATAATAGATAATGAACAAACAAATGGCAACCTAATTTGTCTCATTCATGGATGTGGATTATAATGTAAACAATCAAGGAATCATGTAGGTTGCTGCACTTGAAATAAGGATGTTTAATTGTGGTTAATTGACTAGTTGAGTAGTTGATGGAATGTTCATCGACTACTCAACTAGTTGATAGGCACTTCCGCATTCCTCCTTTGAAATGTACAAGAGCCCCTACTGGGGGGCTCATACATTTCAAAGGAGGAATGCAGAACTCCGCATGCAGCCCGGGGCCAATGGGAAGTCCTGCTGACTCCAGGCTGCACGGGGGGGCCGCCAGCTTTTAAATGTACAAGAGCCCTCAGCGGGGGACTCTTGTGCATTCAAAGCCATGGAACCCGGGGTCAGGTGGGGACTCCCCAGCTGCCCTCAGGTTCCTGCGCAGCTAACCCCAGGCTCCACAGCGCAGCCCCCTTTAAAACGCCGCCTCAGCGTTACAAAGGGGCCATGCCACACAGCTGATCCTGGGTTCAGCTGTGCAGCGTGGCTCCTTTGAAATACAGAGACAGCGTTTTAAAGGGGCAGCGCTTCACAGCTGAGTGGCACTGCCCCTTTGAACGCCGCTTCAGCATTTAGAAGGGGCAGCTGCACAGCTGATTCAGCTTGGGGCAGTGCACACTTTAAGGGCCAAATTTTCAGCGGTTACTTTTAATTTTCTGCTTGCAAAAACATACTTGTTTAATGTTGCAGTTCGTAATTTCAAGCAAATAAATCAATTACGGGACCTCCATCTACCAAATATGCACATGCAAGTGCAGTTGAGTAGGCAGTTATGTTGCTCTTTTTTGTGGGCATAAAGTCAGATGTTGCTCTAAAGCTAATTGAAAAGCACTGAGGTGCCCTGAACATGGTAGTGTTTACTGGGTGTGGTAGTACCTCCCCAAATTCCTTAATCTAGAGTGACTGTGTTTGCCTCCAAAAGTTTGAAGTCTCTTTCCCCACATTTTGTGTGATCTTCGTTCATGTGCCTTTTATCCTGTTTCTCTTATGATGGAAATTGTACATTCCCATTTGCTGACAGCTGAGATTTTTCTCTCAGTGTAGGAAAATTTGGCCCTTAGCACTGGTTGCCGTCTTTAAATCTGAAGTTAGGAGAGTTCTGCTAATTTGGCCTGTTTCGAAGGGAATTCCCAGACTCTCCCACCCACTATCACAGCTCTTAGTCCCCACTGTAGTTATATCTTGTGGGAAGATGATAACTCCTTTCATGTTATGTTGCTACTGATGGCACTTCATCTGTGGGTGGATTACAACTGGACCTGCAGGGCACATTTCCTTCCCAAGTACTGATTGGTTTAGCTGTGCTACTGAATTACCCCTAATTGCATCCTCAGGCCAGGGTCCTTTTCACAATTTTTAGCCAGAGAAACTGGGGCAAGATGTCCCTCTCCCCCTGCGCCCCCCTCCCCCAATGCAAAGACTCCTCTCATGGTTCCCTGGTGTACCTCTAGCTGGCTTAGTGTGAGTGGTTTTAATGATAGTGCTTTTTCTTGGAATTGTGGCTCTGTCTCTTAGGCATGATGCAGCCGTACAAAAATGTAAAACATCTTTCTTAGTTTACTGCAGGAAATTCAGCATCCAACTAAGGAAGTTTTATCACATCTCTCGTTCAGTTACTATTTCCTACATTTCAAATATACTGCAGCCTGTACAGCAGCTCTTTTTCCTTTAATTTTGCTGCAAATCTTTCTGTCTTACCCCAAACTTTGGTAAATGTCATGAATCTCGGGCCAGCTTTAATTAGGAATTTTCTAAATCTATTAACGAAAGAGATGTACTTAATACATTATGTCAACCAGATCTGGGCTTTCTTTAGCTATTTCCAAAGCTGCCATGGGCACAGCTTGAAACTTGCTAGGATTTTCCATGGGTGTCGTATTTTATGTTGTGCTAATATTAAATGGTCTGTTTCACTTCATCAGGGACTTTAGCTTAAGGTTAATGTATTTATGTAAGATTAATCTTGCCATGTTGTTTTAGTCATCAAGATTGCAAACTGCATTGTTCATACAGTGATTTCTGCATGTCATTTGCTGCAAGCTCCCATTTAGAACCAGTTTTATCTTGCAGGTCACTTTTTTTTAAAGAATATCTCTTTCTGCTTTTCCAACATGGTTATTATTTAAGAAAATTGGTAAAAATCCTTTTAAAAAAAAAAACCTCTTTGTTCATATATAAATCCCTTTCTGTTACTGCAGAATTCTGATTTTTTGAGTTCTTCCTCTCACAGCCATTCTTAACCTTTTAAGTGTTCCTTCAGTCACTGCTGTTTTCTATTCCGGTATGTCAGACAGTTTATAGGAGCCTGACATGGTTTTCTCTCACTGGAAATTATTTAAAAAATAACTCTTTGATGTATTAGGTCAAAATTAGTGTGCATAATGCTAAAAAAAGTAGCTAAAATGTGGAGGAATGTAAGATCTCATCATAGGAGCAGAGATGTAAGTGTTAATAGGAAGATTATACTTTGGAAACAAAAGGAAGGAATGAGCTTTTCTCTTCTTTTTTTCTTGTAGGGGAGAGACCATTCCAATGCAGATATTGTCCATACAGTGCCTCTCAGAAAGGGAACCTAAAAACACATGTGCAGTGTGTGCACCAGGTACCCTTTGACAACAGCCAGTACCCCGATCAGCGATTCCGACAACTTCAAAACGATGATCCCAACAACCCCATAGAAGAACAGCTGGAAAACTTCCCTAGAAGCCATCACATCTCTGGAGTCACTGTGCTAGAGTGAAAACAGTTCTCTGCTAGAATGGAAATGCTTCTACACTGTTAATCATTTTAAAATAAATGAAGATGCTACACATGATATATATAAATTGACGTACTAATCAGTCCCATGGTTCCTTATTTCCTTTATAATAAACAGTCGAGTTGGCAAGCACTGTGGCAGTGCAAGGCATCTATATTAATCAAGATAAGTTTGAGACACTGGAAAAATTAAACTATATGTGATTTGGACAGCGTGAAGAATTTAAGTACTGTAACAAAAACCTCCCTGATGCTCAGAACGACTATTTGATACATTTGAAAAACAGCAGTGGATTTGGGAGCCGAAGAAGTATTAATTAAGGAAACTGCCACTGCTTGTCAAGCCGCAAAGTAAACTTGAAAAAAGAAAAGGAGGGGGAGCAAGAAAGAGGTGGCATTTGGTGCTTGAGAGAGTAGTGCTTGATGAAGGACTGAAGAGAAGACCATCATTCTACAATGGTTTGTTTCATTACAGTTTGGGGACCAGTTGCATTTCTAAGTCTTGTTCTTGACTGCACACCATTAATACTATGTGAATATGGAAAATGAAACACTTCCACAGAAAGACTTATATTCTGCTTTGGAAAAGAAAAGCTGATTGAACACTAAAAAAAAGAAAAAAAAAGGCTTCGGTGTTTTACTCTCAGGACCTTTTTTGTAACAGGGCTACTTTCTTTGACCTGATCACAAAGGAAGTCTGCACGTTTAAAAAAATTATTCAGCTGTTTAAAGCCGCTGATCTGTACATTTTTAATAGAAAAGAAATTGTTGAACAAGTTCAGGCTGACCTAGGCCCTTAGGGTACTTTATGCTCCTGCATTTTTGTTCAGCAAGCCAGTTGCCCTTCCTTTCTGGGCTTGGTGACATTTTGAAAAGATGAGTAACTTCTTTTGTGGTGGCAGGTTAATGTTTATATAATGTGTCATGTCTTGTACTTGGTGATCACTGGTGGTGTTGGGGGGGAAAGAGCTTTATATACCTCTTCTACAGTAACTCTTTTAAATGCAAATTTTCAAGGTGGGGGTTGTGGCACATAACAGGTTGGCAAACCATGCAGTGTAAGCAATTCAAAAATGTATTCCACAGATATAAATATTTTCCTTTCTCATTGCTGTGACACTATGTGTGATGGTAATATTTCTGAGAGTTTCAGATTTTGCACATATAATTTTATGCATTATCAAAAGTAACTGCTGCCTTGAAAGAAAATGTTCTGTGAAATTTTTTGCAAAAGCTTTACTAGGTTTTTTTTAATTGTAACATTTTGTAAAGGCAGGAAATGAATTAAAAGAAACTCGCATGCTAAATATATTTTTCAAAAAAAAAAGCAATAATTTTACATGTACAGAAATGGTAACCTTTAATATCGGCGAGAGCAACAGTTTACTTAAACCAATAATGAAATAGTGCTGTTTTTGTAGTAAATGGGCTTCTGACACAAAGATTTGTCTAAAACCCCCCATAAAGTGTGATTTTTCTGTTCTAACCCTTTTTTTGTTTGTTTGCCTGTTTATTTTGTTTGTTTTTTGTTTTTAAATCTAGTCAATAATTGGTTCTGGCTACTACTTGTTACTTGTTGTGAATTACATGACCGTTGTTACTTTGCAACACTTGCAAAAATGCAAATATAACTTTCTTATGTAATTTTTGTTACTAATTGTTCCTCATACTTTACATAAGATGTATACCAGAATTCTCTATAGTCCTGGTGTAGTTAGGAATGCCTGTGCAAATACTTATAATTGACTATCATTGACTGTTCTATAAAGTTATTTTGAGGGAAGTCACATATAGAAACATTCCATTGTGCACACACACACAGGCTCACACAACTGCTGTGTGAATTAATGATTGATCAACATTTTGAGGTTTGCACTAGCTTTTTTTTTTTTTTTTTTAATTGGTTGCTTTTTCGTGGATGAAAGTGATGATGACAGTTCAGGAATGAACAAAAGTAAGTTGCTTATCCAATTTGTTTGTGTTTTAGTTATTAAAATTTCTTCTGTACCCAAAATGGCACAAAAGTGTAGTGTACATTTGTAATTCCACTCGCCCCCTTTTTTGCAAGCAGATACGAAAAATTATAGGTAATATTTAGAGCAAAATGTTGCTTCCTGGAATCTTTTTTCCAGGATATCTGACAGAGCAGAGGATAGTGCTGTCATTACCATTACTGGGATGTTAATCAGCAAAGTTACAATCATAATTTAGCTACATGAAGCACAACAGTAAGGGAAATCAGTTTAAATAATTATATGCTGTGTATAGCACAGAAATGAGTTTTTCACATAATTAAACAAGAAATGGGAAGAGTGGGTGGGTCAATGCCAACCGCAAAAACTAGCCATTTTCAGATGTGAACCCTAGGCTCTCTTTCTTTCTTTCTTTCTTTCTTTCTTTCTTTATCATTGTATTGTATTGATTTTTTTAAATTCAGTTAGACCGTACTATTTAAAATGATTTGTGTTCTTTATTTATTTAGTTAATTGGTTTTGATCAGCTTTTTGAAACAGCATGATGATTTTTTAGCATGACACACTCCTGTAAGCCATCTTCTGACTGTTACAGACTTTCTACTACCTCTACCAATCTACTGTTTCCTCTCCTTAACAGGTTTTTACAGTGTTGCAGTCTAATGTAACTTAGCCAATAAAGGGTTTGATTATCTATACTGCAGATTCTCAGTGTATCTGCCATCCCTCTCTTTTTTCTCTCTCTCTCTTTTTGCCTTTACTTTTCATCACACTTAAAAAAAGAAATGACAGAAAGATTCTCCGCCACAACCTTTTTTCTATAGTGAGTGTTTTAGAATGACCAAAAGTCTGACTCAAATACCCTCTTCTTGAAGATAATCAACAAGTGTATTGTTGTGTTTCTTTTTGCATCCTAAAATTCTTACTGTAAAAAATGTATAAATAAATTCTTGCATGGTAAAAAATGGAAAGCAAATCATAAAGCCAAAACAGATTTTAGTTTTTGTTTCAAAACCACTTAAACTATCTAGTGAAAAGCTCAGCGCAAATCACCATCCCCACCACATCATATAAGAAAAACACTGCTTATGTGAAAACAGCAAATTAAAGGAAATTACCCTTTTAAAAGTACCAGCTTGCATTTGTGTGAATAGATATCCTGCTATAACTGTCAGTCAGGTGAAATCTGTCTCTTGAGTGATTTCCAGACATTGAGGGTGTGCATGTGCCATGGTAATCTGTGTAAGCGTGTTACCTTCTAACGGTGTCTCACGCTTTATACAACATTTTTATATTTTGGAATGCACATCTACATTTGCCTCATTCAATATTTCAAAGCATACTATACATTTTAGACTAATTTGTGAATGTTTGTACTTACCAATGTACGTAATACTCTCAAATGTTCCAACCTGGTCTGTACACTTTTTTTTTGTACTCATGAATTTAACTGTAAATGTATTTGTGCATCCCTATGAAATGAGGAGAATGCATTGACACATTAGGATTTTTTTTTCGTGACTCCCAAAATATGTGATTTAACTAGCCTGCGGAAGGACGCAGACTAGAGTGAAGAATCTGAAGTAAGATAACTGTTCGTGAGTAGTTCTCTTCTGGTTTTAAATTTGTTGGATTGCAAGTCAGGAAGATAGCACTTCATGTATAAAACACAACTCCGTTTTTTGTAATTCATCAGTTTCATACAAAGCAAGACATTGTCCTCCAAGTTGACAATTGTGTTTTTGCTTTCATCATACAGTTCCATGCTGGGTCAAATCCTGTTCTCTTAGGTAAAATTCCTACTAATTTCGGTTGGAGCTTTGGCTAAGTTGTGCCTGTTTGGGCCTAATCTGCCTAGAATATGTTAGAGGGACACTAAAACAGAAATATGTAGAACTTGCCTTTACCTCTGCTATTGAGAGCATGATACATTACAAAAAGACATTGTGCCAGCACAGGTGCAGAAGGAAGCAGGATGACCAAACATTGAGTGCTGGCGCCTTGATGAGAGCACAGACTGCTTTCTAGAGCAATACCCAGTCCAATGAGGACAGGGGGAACTGTAACCTCAGGCCTTCATCAGCACCACACCCAAGAGCAGAGCTGGCTCGCCATGCAAGGGTGGATATGCTGGTGTTCCCTGAAGACAATATTGTGCATGCTGAAATCTAAACTTTATTATAGTAATTACTATATTGCAATCTGGAGCAATTTTCTGTCATCTGTTACTGTAGGGCCCCAAACTAATGAAATAGACAGAGCTCTTTCAACCTAAAATGTGATCTTTATTTCCAATAGCACCTGTCACGCGCTAAGCATTTTCCAAACAAAGAAGGGATGTGAATGGGTCACTGGGGGATACTTACTGGGTACCATTCAACTGGTACCTGGTAGCAGCTCCATGGTTCTGGGAATGGCAGACTTGCACCCAGGGTGGTGAAGCTGGGAGCAGACGCTGCCCACCCCATGCGTGGTGGGGCCAGGAGTGGCAGTCCTGCACACACAGGGAGCAGGAGCCAGCAATCCAGTGGGCTGGGAGTAGCTCCAGCTGGGCTAGAGCCCTCCCCCCGCCCTGCGATTCTGCTTAATTGGTTAATCGGTTAAACCTAAGGTTTAACTAGTTAACTGATTAACCAGGATTGTACATCCCTAAATCTAAGAAGCAGGTACAATACCTTTCACTAGCAATTTCACAACCTAAAGACAGATTAAAAAAAAAGATACGGGGTAGGGAGTAGTAGCAAATCACATACGCAATTATGTTAACAGAAATACACGGTTATTAACTAGGGTAACAATTTCCAAGTTGCTTCTCATAGGTTGTTGTCAGAGTGAATGCGAGGTTTTGCTGCCGGGAGAGAATAAGCTCTTCAAGTTGAGTAAGAAGTAGCAGCAGCAGCAGGACTTGGTGACAGCTTGGCTGTATGGGGTAAAGAGAGGGATGAGTCCCAGATGGACCCTCACATTGTGGGTTTGAGGAATGAGAGTGGTGTTGACCATATCGGAGGAAGGGGTTAGTGGAGAGTGTGTATGAGAAAAGTTTGATTTTGGCTAGGTTGAGTGGAAATTGATGGTGAGAGATCCCTGAGGAGTTACCTGAGATACAAGACTATATAGGGACATGGTAGAAATGGTGGAAAGCCCAATTTGCAGCAGAATCAATAGAGGTCAGCATAGGGACTCGGACTATAGAAGATGTCATGAAAGGTATAGTCAATGATGTGAAGCAGCAGCAGTGGTGTCTAAAAGAATAAAGATGGAGTAGAGATCATGACACTTACATAAAATAAGATCTGTCTCTGCCCTACCCTACCTCGGGGCGCCCATTCTAACAAAGGAAATAAAGCAGAGAAACTGGAAGCAAGAAGAATCTGCCAACAGTTTAAAGCTGGTGTGCCATCTTATCCTGCAAGACAGATGCTCGTTGCCTGAACCTGGATTATTTTGTGACAGAAAATGAGAAGCACCTTTGGGGCCTTTGATTGACAGATCATCAAAAGATTTAACTATGTTTGACCAGGGGGAAGCTAATGTCATTACTGTAGCTAAGGCTGGGCTGAAAGACCTCTCCAGTCCCCTGAGAGTTCAGAAAATGCATCTTCGACAGAAAAAAGAAAGCTGACTAGCCACAAAGCAGAGAGTGTAGTGGACCATCATTTTAGAGGACATAATATTTTTAAGCAAATGCTGCATTTCCATAATCCTTTGAAGGTGGTAGACCATCTATGTAGGTAGGACTCTTTTTGGGATACAGTATTTGGAAATCCTGAGAAGAGATTGAGGGGGAGGCTGCCACCCTACTCCACTACACTGCAGCCCAGGGGATCCATATTATTACATGTTGGCCTCTAGCCAAGTTTCCCCTACACTGGGGCCTGCTGTCCCTGGGCCACTTCTATCTCCCTCTCCATGGGTACTTGGGTCTCTAATAGGTCCGCGGCTCCCAGCCAGTCCACAGCCTCTGGCAGGTGTAGGGGTCCAGACCAGTCCTCAGTTTCCAGCAAACGTGGGACTTCGGGCCAGTCCTCAGCCTCTTGTAGAGCCAGGGGTCTGGGCCAGTCTTCAGCCTCTGGCTGGCACAGAAGCACCGGGCCGACGTCCATCTCCACTGCTCGATGGGGCCCCACTGCCCTCCTGGGCAGGCCTTTTATAGTTTTGGTCCTGCTTCCTGACTTCCTGTCATGTGAGGGGTAGGACCAGGCTCTGCCCACAAGGGCTCATGGAGGGGTTCCTCCCCCTCAAGATCCGTGGGCGGCCACTCCACCCTACTTCCACCCCCATCACAAATCATTACCTAACCTTTGCACTGTATTCCATAGAATTCCACTGTGGTTTTCTGAAAAACAAATTTGCATGTAGAGAATGTAACAGAACCTATGAAATCAACATGATACAGATATACAGGAGAAATAAGCCCTTGTTTACATAGTGGGGAAAGATCCTTTATTATTACCACTGTGGGATCAGTTTTCTTGATTTGTAAGGATTATGAGAGGGAGTATTGTTTGATCCTTCCTG